TGAGGTTCATGAGTTACTAACGTCTCAGTTTTCCCACCAAATAATAGGCAAATTCATTATGACCCTGTTATGGTAAGGATGGGGAATGAATCTCCAAAATCCCATGTGTTAAAAACAAGATCTTCAAAATATAAGGTTCAGAGGTGGAAATTTTGGGCAATGATTGGATCATGAAGGCTCTGACCTCCTCAGTGGATTAATCTATTTGCTGGATTAATTCATTGGTAGATAGCTGGACTGAAGTTAGTCATGGTAGCACATAACTATGATCCCAGTGACTCCAGGAGGCTAAGGCAGGAGAATCAAAAGCTTGAGGCTAATCTCGGCAATTTAGCAGGACCCCATCTCAAAATTTTAAAAATGAATAAATAAGAAAAGACTGTGACTGTATCTCAGTGATAAAATGCACCTGGGATCAATCCCCAGGTAAATTTAAAAAAAAATAAAATAAACATGAATGGATTCCTGGTTGGTAACGATTGGCAGGTACAGCATGTCTGAGAGGTGGGTCATAGATGTGCCCTTGGGACTCTACATGCCCTTGGCCCCTTCCTTACTCCCTGCTTTCCTGCTGCTAAGTGGTGGAGCAGATTTCCTACACATGACTTCTACCATGATGCTCTGCCTCACACTGCACCAGGAGGTATGCCATCCATGGACCATGGATTGAGACCTCTGAAACCATGAGCCCAAAATAACATAAACTTTTCTTCCTCCAAGTTGTCCTTGTCAGGTATTGTCTTTAGAGTGATGAGTGTTAGCTAACATTCTCCAGGATCAGTGTCTTGAGAATGATTCAGACTACTCCACTGCACATATACTTCTACTTTCCTATAAAAACAACTCTTGTTTCATTCTTAGTTTTCTTTGCATGAGTCCTTGAACAGGTCTTGGCGAGTTTACTATTTTACATGTGGCTTCTCTTGTTTATTATTTATATATTGGTGATACTGGAGATTGAACCCAGGGCTTCATGTATGCTAGCCATACTTTCTACAAGTGACCTACATGCTCAGACCATTATTTATCTCTTAATTTATAAAACTACTCTATTAATATTTATAGACTTAAATATTTCACATACAATATAACCAATTTATAGTTAGAGATTCTGACCACGCTTTACATTTAATTTGTTATGGGAATATAAAACCTCGCTATCTTAATTCAAATATTTTGGAGGTACCTATTTATCATCTCAACATTGGATGTCTCCAATTAAAATATTTTAATTTAATATAGGTTCCATGCAATAACTGGATCTATTCAAATTGTTTTGCAACATTTCTACAACTTATAGGACATAATGTTATAAATGAGAAAACAGATCATCTTGGTAAACACAGTCACACTAATATGAGTAGTAGAATCCATTGTCTTAAATGTCTCTAGTTATCCTTAATAAATTTCACCTAACTGAGGGAATGTCATTTATTTAAATGATGGAGTATTAAAAACTATGTAATTTTAATGAATTTCATTAATTCATTGGGGAGCATGAGAGAAATAAGAGCTATGCACCCCTATATACATACCTATCAGCAAAGTTTCACTGTCTCAACAATGACATTGTATGTAATGGCACTACCTTAAGGGATCAGCATGTATGAGTGATGGGGAATGGGAGCTTGGAAGTTCTTTTCTGTCTCTCAACTGTTCTGTAACTATTATAAATAAGTAGATAATGATCACTTTATTCAGACAGTGTGATAAACTTAAAAGATCAGACTGAGCAAAAATATCTTTAAATAAAATAAATGATAATTACTTTTTAAACACAAGTGGGAAATGCATTAATACATTACATGCAAAGCTGCCATAATTCACCTGTATGTTAGCTGCTGGCATTTTATTTGAGTGATTAGTCAAAATTTGAGAACAGCACTGCTCACAGTTTCTGCAGCCAGCAACAGAGTATTTAAAAGCCCCTGCGCTGTGCACATCTTGATGTTCCTTTGAGGAAGCAGGAAGCAGATTCCTGCTCCTTGAGTGAATATTCAATTTCTGACACCACAACTGATCCCCAAACTTTATGACACCAGGTCCCTGACTGTGGGCTTCTCATTTGCAGGACAGTGTCTGGTCCAGTGGGTTCTATTACAGTTCTATTTCTTCCTGAAAGACTCCAGTCGTGTCTTTTAACTCCACCTTCAAGCTCACATCTTAGAATAAGCTACATTCCATGCTTTTATAATTATATCAATATGGATTATACTGTCGTGTCCAACTAAAAAGAACCAATAAAATAAAATAAAAAGAAATGCTAATATCTTCCCTGACTACTGGAGAAAAGATTCAGATCCAGCATTCCCCATTTTGACAAACCTAAGCAGAATGCCTTACAATTTATAGAAAAGTATTACATTTATTTTGCATTAGCATTATTCTCCTTCACATATGTTCATTTCATATATTGAATATGGAAAAATAAAATTCATCTTTAATAAACTGTGTTTATTTTCCCCTGTAAATTGTGCCTCATTATATTTATGTTAATTTATCTACATTATTTTTGCTTTTTCTGTTTGTGTGTATGATATGTGAGGGAGAAGAATATTGTTAGAAAAATAAAAACAGACAAAAACAGAGGTAGAGATACATACTAAGGAATATTACTCTCTTTGGTTATCTCCTGAGATTGTGATGTACTTAAAATTTCAATGAAGTGAACATCAGTTATTATTACCTCAGGTCATTTGTAATCTAACTTCTACATGATAAAAATTATTCCTATTTATGATCAGACTATTAATTATGTTCACATTTCAAATTTTTAAATGACACCTTTGCCTGTTAAAATAGTTCTTTTTCCTACCACCATCTATAACAATTTTTGCCTTTGTCTATTTTCAGATTTCCCACATCTTAGATTCCTTATCATGGTGCTTCTGAAGAGAGGTAACTTACTCCTCATACCTCCCAGGATTATGTCAACTTTCTACTTATCATTACCTGACGTGCACAGTACCATTGGAAGTCCTTGTCTGGTGGCCACTAACTTCTGAAAGTTTTACATTAAAATCCTCCAGAAAGAATTTGCTGTTTATCAGATGATATAGTTCAGCTCTAAAATATACCTCAAAAGACATATTTAAGATTTGACCCTCATGGTAGAACTATTAGTCAATGATGAATCCCTTGAGAGATGAAACTCAGTAGGAGAACCTCAGGTCATAAGGTCACAACCCCAAAAGGATCATCTAACCCCAGTCCCTTCCTTTCCTTTTTCTTTTTTTTTTTCTTTTTCTTCCTGTCACAAAATAAGAATTTTTGCCCCCACCAAATGCTCCTACCATATTGTGATGCCTTACCACAGACCCAAAGCACGGGGCAATTGATCCTAGAATCAATGCACACACAATATAAGCAAAAATAAACCTGTTCTCTTTATAAGTTGATTGTCTCAATTATTTCACTATAGTGATGGAAAGCTGACTAACACACCAGCACACATTAGCAATGGTCTTCAGTGTCCTGAGTCATTGACTATCCTTGAATCTCATGATTCCATACCTTTCCTTGGAAGTTCTCCAAACGAATATGCCCACTTATTCCCATTTATTTCTAAAGAAATCCACATGACATTTGAAATAATGAGACAAAAGAATGCTACACAATATACCATTCCAGCAGAAGAATCAGTTGACTTTTAATTTGATTTTCAAGAAATTACATCATACCCAAAAGTTCTCTGCTCTTCGTCATATTTAAAAAGTCAACATTAATAATAGGATTCAGACTGACCAATAGAAATTGCAAGCATTATTTGGGCATGAGATAATTAATATTAATTTTAAACCAACCAACCAACAAATAAAAAATCATTTTGCTAGTGGGATTTGTAGGGTCAGAGGAAGCTTGGGTTCAGCATCAATAGAATTAGAGTAGAAGCTTCTTCCTTCCTTATGAAATCTTCAATATATATACAGGGCTGGTACATAATTTATATTGATCTCTGTTCATCAAACACACTGAGTTTTGCTCTTATACAATTTGTGATTGTAAATTGTATTTTAACAAATTTCATTAATATTTTTAAACCAAACAAAACAGATGTATTTCCATGATTGGTTGTATCCACTCCCACAAATACTTCATTCAGTGTGAAGGATTGCATTATTTATGAACCTTACTATCCATACTACTTTTAACACAAATGCCCCCATAAGTACTTGAAAGTCTTCCAAAATAGCATATAAGAACCCTGGTAAAAATTAAATACACGAATAAGTCCATGAGGGTACAGGACGGAGCACCCAACTTAATCTTAGTGTTTTATAGATACATATATAACATATTTATATTAGGTGAGAAAGAGAAGCTTAGCAAATGTGTAGCTTCTTATTAAAAAAAATGACCATTTACTCTCTGGAAGAAAGAAAAAAATATTCTGAAGCAACAGCTTAGAATAAATACCAGGCACATTTACATTTGTCAGTAACTTGTCACCAGATTACTAATTAACAGAAACTACAGCTATCTCATCCTTAAAGAGCAAAACTCACAATGTATCTTTAGTAAGATTATCTCACTAAAACAAAACAAAATGAAAAAAAATAATAACAGCCATGGAGTAATGGAAAAAATAAAACCAACCAACCAACAACAAACAACAACAACAACAACAAAAAACCACACAGGGCACTTGTTTCATGATTTACATTATACCATGTAATCAGGACATAGGTATTCAATTAACTAAATATAGAATGAGACACAGCATGCAAAATAAGACAAGAATTTCATTTTAAAGGCTCATAAATTGATCATGCAATGCTGATGTACAAAGATATTATCTCAGTTATGAGGCTTGTTTTTAAAATAATTCAAGGTACCGGTGACGTTGTCTGAGGCACATGAGTGAAATAATATGACAGGCTCTGCCTGTAGTTTTCTCCTGCCCACACTGAGGAGGTATAAAAGGCAGGTGGCAGACAGTGGCATCCAGACTCAAGACATCTACATCCTGATCCTGAACTGAACACTCCACTCCTGACAGCATGAGCTGCTACTATGGCAACTACTATGGTGGGCTGGGCTATGGCTATGGTGGCCTAGGCTGTGGCTATGGTGGCTATGGTGACTATGGTTATGGATGCTGCCGCCCACTGTGCTACAGAAGATACTATTCCTATGGCTTCTACTGAGGCATTTCCTCAGCTGCTGAGCCTATTGGCTGTCAGGTCCTGTCTCACTGGAATCATTGTCAACTTTCTTCACATGAGAAATGTTTGAATATCTTCATAAATACCAACTATATACCAAACTAATTGAAAAAAAAATGAATGGAATCAGCATGCTTTTATTGATTCCTCATTACCTCTTGAATTATGTGATTGTTGGAGAAGTTTTTCCTTTGATAATTATCCTTATAACACTATGTAAAATGTGATTGAATCTGATTCACAATGGCTGTATAAAAAGATACATATCTTAAATAAATTGTTTTTCACTGCAACAATGGCTTTGCTAGAGTTGTTCTAAATTGTCTCCATCAGTGTAACATGTATATTTATGTGTTTACAAGTGATTAGTTTTGTGTGTGTGCTTATGTTTACCCAAGTGGGGGAGGGAGAGTGTTTGTACACATGCAAGAGAGACAAAGAAAGCAGATCAGAGGTCTTCTGTGGCCAACAAGGGTTTTAAAATCAATGGGATAAAATCATAAATTCTTTCTAACATCATAAAAAAAACTGTTTTGTTTGTCTTTTCACCTTTTCTACAATTATTCATTGCTTATAAGTTTTTAAAATATCTATTTTATGCAAACATGTTTGTATTTCATCAGAAACACACTCTTCACTGTTCTTTTCTGCTCATTAATGAAAAGGGGAAAATAATATTTCTTTGTAACAGATCATGCAAAGTGTGTTTTACATTTATGTTTGACTATCTTTTACCTTTTTAACTTGCTAATGGCTCCCATTCAAGTTCTTTAAATGGCTGTTTTCTACAATGACAATTTTATTTTGTATCAGACCATTTAAAATTTTATATATTTGTTTTCTTTGTGTTACTTGCACAAAATGGTTTACATTATCTCAGCTACAGACATACCTCTGTAAAATGTTTCTCAATTTTTGTTAAAAAAAAAAAAGCATTTTTTCTAAACAATGAGTTCAGGAAGCATCATATTGAAAATGTCTGCACTAATAATCATGTTCTGGATTACCTTCATGGCAACCAAATAGTGTTTCAAAATGTATCAATTCATTCTTCCACTTAGAAATAGTACATGTATTATGCATTGTAAGATAAGTTTATCAAAACCATGAGTTATTTTCTCCAGTATTGAATTAGCATTAGTTTATCTTCTTTTTCATCTCAAAGTCTGATGTTTATCAAAGGTATATGCCTACATGAACTAATTTTCTCCAGAATCAAATTGTTTCCACTCTTAAAGTAGCTATGTTTCATTTGGGAAACAAACTGACAGCACTGAATGCAATGAAATGCTGATGGAGAAGTAAGAATAAGAAAACTGATACTCTTAAGATGTAAAAAATGTTTAATCGTGGGGTAAAATTTTAAAGTTCTCCATTCTAGGAATCAGGCAAGAGGCTCATATGACAGAGTAATCAGCAGAATTCTGAGTCCATTACCAATTCTTCAGGGCTAGGAAAACATACTTGGTATTTTAGTGAAATTTTTCATTGCTGGCCCCCAAAGACTTGACAAGAATTATTTTAGAGGTTGAAAAGTTTATTTAAGGATCATGGTTTCATTGATCTCATTCATTGACTTCAGCTGACTTCATTGCTCTGAGCACGAGGGGGGCAGGACATTATGGTGGAAGAGAGTGCTTTAAAAAATGTGACAAGGACATGGCCACCATAAATCAGAGACAGAAGGACAGATCTACTCACCAAAAACCAAATATATACCCCAAGGCATGTAACCCAAAGATCCTACTCCTCCAATTGCACTCCACTACTTACAGTTACCACCCCGTTAATCTCTATTAGGGGATTAACGCACTGATTAGGTTAAAACTCTCATAGCCCTTCAGACACTGTGGCCCACACCTGTAATCCCAGCAACATGGGAGGCTGAAGCAAGAGGATCACAAGTTTGAGGCCAGCTTCAGCACCTTCTTGCACTGTCTCCCACATGAGCTTTTGGGGGACATTATGACACCACATTTGGAAACATAAAAAAGACACAATCTGATAAGAAAGCATTCAGAGAATAATGACTTTAAATGAGCCAGGTTTCTCCATGAGACATTTTAGAAATTCATAAAAGTTGTAAAGATCGGTTTCCTGATATAAAACATAATCATTTAAAAATGAGATGAAAAAATATCATTGTGTTCATATCAAGGTGAAAAGAAAATAGTCACTAGAATTCAGAAGAATCATCTAGAATAGAAAGAGACTAAAGATCATTCCCCATAGGCTAGACCAAACATATAAAGGCACCCTAACCAAAATTCAGAGCATAACATCATGATTATCCTTATTTGAATTTGACCAATCTGATCTTTTCTAATAACCCAATGGGAAAGCAGTGACAAAACACAAGCATCTAATGTGAAATATAATATGTTCTGGATCTTCTAAAACTTTAATAGAAAATACTGAGTTTATGGACTCCTATGGAGATATGAAAAAGAGGCAACAGTTATCAAAAAGTGTCAAAATGTGTTCTACTGTTATGAATAAATAATTAGAACAAATTTTAAAAAAAGAAACCAAATCTTCCTTCACATACTGGATATTGCACTAAAACTGGAGAAATGTACAAAAGAATCAAACTAAAATTCTAGTTCTATTTTTTAAAAAACAAATGATCCATGTGGTCAATAATTTAACAAATTTAGTTTCAGAAAATAAGTGTAATAGGCATAATACTAAATATATTATGCCTGATCAAGAAACAATTTGTTGCCCAATTTAAAAAGTAAGAAAACTTGTTCACTTTTTTTTTTAAAGCACACATTTAATACAATGTCTTTTTGCCACTTCTAGCATGTCATGATATGAACAAGAGGCTCTGAATAAGAAGAAGTTCAGAGACAATAATTGGCACATGGACTATGACAAATAAATATCCATTGGTAGCTGAAACAGGCTAGCAGATCTCTGTGAATCTCAGAAGTCTTAAATGATCTGAATGAGAACCTTGGGGAAAAGCAAGTTTCTGAAACATTGATGTACCTGTGACTATTTTCAGTGTGCAGTGACAGCAAGGAGCAGAACTGGTAGGATTTGTGAGCCAGAGGACCTTTAGGCTCAGCAACCAGAAGTGGAAGCTCCTTGCTTCTTTAGCAATTCCTCTAATGCCTACATTAAGAGTGGTGGGACATAATTTAGATTTATCTCTCTCTCAGGTGTCAAGCTGTTCTATAGTAATAATAATAATAATAATAATAATAATAATAATAATAATAATAATAATAATGTTTCATTGATTTTATGTGAATTGAATTTTAAAAAATTAAATTAACTATTAATAACCAAACAAAAACATATCTTTCCATGTCTAAGTATCCTTGTTTCCACCAATACTTCATCAGCAGCTAAAATTTGAGAAAGTAAAAGGGAGTGCATGGCTCATTTGGTCCTTCTGATCTATCCATGCACTTTGAAGATACAGGTCATTCCTACAGTGGCAAGGCATTTGAAAGAGTGAATGCTATTTTTTTTTGGTATTTTTAAAAATTTATTCTTTTTAATTATATATGACAGTAGAGTGTATTTTTATTTGTTCTATTTAGTTCTCCATGATAGCAGAATGCATTTTGATTTATTGTAAACAAACGGAACACCACTTTTCATTCCTCTTTCTGTACACAATGTAGAGTCACACCACACATGCAGTCATACATGTACCTAGGGCAATGATGTTCATCTCATTCTACCATCGCTCCTGCCCCCATGTCCCCTCCCCTTTTCTCCCTCCCCTTTGCCCCCATTCCCCCATTCTTCCCACAACTGCACCCTGCCCCATTGTGGATCAGCCTCCACTTATCAGAGAGAACATTTGGCCTGGGTCAAATGGCGGTTCCATTCAAAGTTTTCTGAGGAATCTCCATACTGCTTTCCAGAGTGGTTGCGCCAATTTCCAGTCCAACCAGTGATGTATGAGAGGACCTTTTCCCCTACATCTTCCCCAACATTTACTGTTGTTTGTATTCTTTTAAATTTTTTTGTTCTAATTAGTTATATATGACAGTAGAATGTACTTTGATATATCATACATAAATGAAGTGTAACGTCTCATTCTTTTGGTTGTACATGATATAGAATTGCACCAGTTTTGTAGTTATATAATGCACGTAGGATAATAATGTTCAATTCATTCTACTGTCCTTTTTACCTCCATACCCACTCCTCTCCCTTTCCTCACCTCTACCTAATTCAAAATAAGTATTCTTTTCTAGCATCCCCTACCTTATTTTGAATTATCATCCACATATCAGAGGGAACATTCTACCTTTGGTTTTTTGTTTTGTTTTGGGTTTTTTTTTTTTGAGTGGGGGGGTTGGCTTATTTCACTTAGCATGATATTGTCCAGTTCCATCCATGTACAGGCAAATGACATCATTTCATTTTTACTTATGGCTGAGTAATCTTCCATTGTATAACTGTAGCACATTTTCTTCATCCATTTATTTGTTGAAATCAGCTAGGTTGGTTCCATAGCTTAGCCCTTGTGAACTGAGCTGCTATAATCAATGATGTGGCTGTGTCACTGCAGTATGATGTTTTTAAGTCCTTTGGGTATAAACTGAGGAGAGAAAGAGCTACCTCAAATGCGGTTCCATTCAGAAGTTTTTGAGAAATCTCCATACTACTTTCTATAATTGTTGCACCAATTTGTAGTCCCACCAGCAATGTATGAGTGTACTTTTCCCCCTACATCCTTGCCAACATTTATTGTTGCTTATGTTCTTGATAATTGCCTTTCTGACTGGAGTGAGATGAAACCTTAAGATTTAAGGTTCTGATTTGCATTTCTCTAATTGCTAGAGATGTTGAACACTTTTTCATATAGTTGTCAATCGTACTTTTTCTTCTGTGAAAAGAATGAAAAGAAATTGTACAGTTCCTTAGACTATATATTGATTGTGTAATTTGGTTATTTTGGTGTTAAGATTTTTGAATTCTTTACATATCCTAGAGATTAATGCTTTATCTGAGGTTCATGCAATAAAGATTTTTCTCCCATTCAGTAAGCTCTTCTTTAACATTCTTGTTTTCTTTGCAATGAAGAAGTTTTTTTAGTTTGGTATCATTCTATTTATTGATTCTTGATTTTACTTCTTGCACTTTTGGAGTCTTGTTTAGGAATGGTTCTTAAGCCAATATGATGGAGATGCGGACCCACTTTTAATTCTAGTGGATACCCAGGTCCTTGATCCACTTTGCATTGAATTTTGTGCAAGGTGAGAGAGAGGGTATGATTTCAATTTATTACGTATGTATTTCCAATTTTCCCAGCACCATTTGCTACAGA